GAAGATCCTGCAACAGCCGCGATGGCGACTGAGCTCAGAGGAATTTTTACCGTCATGCAATTGAGTAAACTTTCTGATTTTGAGGGACAAGATGCAACCGAATTAATTGGGTTTGCTGGCATTCCAAGATCTGGCGGTACGATTGGACCAATCCAGTCAAAGCGTCTCAAGGATTTCTTTGACTATGCGACCGCACCTTCTGCGAGTCTCCCTCCGGACCTTACCTACACCAAGATTCGAACCGTTCTTGAAGCACGAGCTAAAGCGGTAGAAGCTGCAGTTCTAGGCTCCATGACTGGCGATGGAACTTCCGTCGCGCCTACTAGCTCAGACTTCAAGTTCAAAGCCCCAGTATGCGATCTATTTACTGGCGAGCCCGAGGAATTTTGGGGTTGGTGGGATTCTGTCCTATTGGCGTTCGGTCAGTCAGGCATCTCTGAAGCTTTGACTGATCCAGAATACCACAACAAGAGCGACAGTGCTGCCAAAGCGTCTAGTGCTGGATGGTATGCCATTGCGAAAAGTCTCCAAGGCGGTCACGCCAATTGGATGTCTGGTGAGGTCAGCCGACACACCAACCGCAAAGTTGCTAATGATTTCTATAAGAAACTAATGAAGACTTTCAATACTGAAGAGAACCAAGCCCATTTCATGGTACATGCGATCGACAGTTTGAATGAGATCAAGTTGGATCATACCAAGCAAGTTCACAAATTTATCAACGATTGGAAGCAAATCATCAATCGGTTGAATGAAAACAAGAACCAGCTTGCGACCAACAGAGAGATTCTACGAGTATTTTTACTTCGTGCATTACAGTCTGATGCCTTTGAAGAATCGAGACAATTCATTCTTCGGAACCCTTTGAAGACCATTGATGATTACTTGGATCATATCCGAAATCGAGCCGATTCGATGAGGATGCTAAGTGGCGACCCCCCAATCCGTGAAGATGGGGATATTGTCCCTGGGATAATCCGCCGGGCCGAATCTCGAACCAAGACCAAGGGATCCGACCCTCCTAAATGGCACATTCCATTTTTTCCTAATGGATGGAAGCAAGCATTGGGAAGGGGACCTTTCAAGCGTTTGGAAGAATGGCGCCGTGCGGCTCATGGTACTAATAAGCGTCCACGCGACCTCGAGAAGGAATTTGATATGAAGAAAGTTCGTAACAAGTCCTATGATCCCAACCTTGATCGCAAAACAAAGAAAGCTCGCCGAGGAGCTACTGAAACTGAGGAAGACGAAACTTCTCAGGACGGCACCACTGATTCCAGATCTCACAAGTTCAGAATTGTGAGTGCAAACCCCCGCCTTCGACGCAGCAAGAACGGTAAAGATGTCTCTTTCAACGACACCATCACCACTTGCAACTGACAAGCACGCGGACGTACACCAACGAAAAAGCGTGTGCTCCGCCGTACCACTTCTCCTCCTGAACCTAATGAACCCGTCCTGATCACGGACAGTGGCGCCGACCAATTCTTGGCAGGCTACATCTGGAGGAGACTTAGTACTACGGGAAGACTGGTTGAGCTCATGGGAGCTTTGGCAGGTAGACATTCTGGAACGGTTCTGCCAGTGGCATCTGTCGTCGGAAAATTGATTGACGCTGCTGGCAAGGCATGGTGTGCAGTCGCCAACGAAGTCCTTCACGACACGAGTCCAAACCAGCATGAATCCTTACTCCCACCGGCGCAAGTACGTAATGCGGGCAATGCAGTCGATGATTGCCCATCTGACGCAAAGACGACTCGCGGGGACTTTGGAACCCAATGTTGTGTGTTTGGTTCGGGAAAAGAAAAGCACACGCTCCCATTATTCTTTGATGGATTGAAGTGCTACTATCGAATGGAGGCCATCACCGATGACGAACTTTCATCTTTGCCACGAATTGTTCTCACTGGAGATGCGGAATACGAGCCGACTAGCCGGACTACAACTCGCCGAATGAACACGGACGAAATTGATTGGAAACGGACCATGGCTTTTCCCCCTGATGATGTCTTGAAACATACTCTTGAAGCGACCACTCAACTAATACCTG